CACACACACACAAATATATAAAAGTGGCTGCCTTTCCATACCCCACCAATAAATTTACAAGTTTTACCAATCTGAAAAGTGAAAATTGGTGTGTTTCATTTTTAAAATTATGAGTAAAGCTATACTTCACATGGATATGTTCCTCAGCAGAGAAGTCTTCCAAATCTTTCATTTTTCAAATACTGATATTAAATGTAAATTTTATAATTTCAAAAAATACATAATACTTTAGGTGCTAAATAAACAATATTTGGGCTTTCTCCTCGGAGAAACACCAAATGGCAGATGATGCTGGTCCAGCAGGAGGGTCTGGAGGCCCTGGGCACCCAGGCTGAGGCCACGGGGTTTGTAGTGGTAATGCTGAGGACAAGGAGTGGATTCCTGTCACCAAACTGGGAAAGCTGTTCAAGGACATGAAGATTAAGCCCCTGGAGGAAATGTATCTCTTCTCCTTTAAGAACATATAGGTACTGTATTTCCCTTAACATATATATGTAATATTATACCTTTTATTTCTTGCATAATGTCAGCTAGAACATAAAACATAAACCTATGCTGGCCAGCAAACCAGGTTCAAGGCATTAATCACCACTAATTTGGTGTTGTGTTGGGTATAAAATGTTCCAAGGAAGTAGCCACTGCCATTCAAGGGACCATCATCCTGGCCAAGCTCTCCATTGTCCCTGAGCGGGGAGGCTGCTTGGGGAACAAGACAGGCAAGCAACATAGTGTCCCTTCTAAGGTGACAGGCTGCTGTGGTTCTGTGTTGGTACATCCGATCCCTGCTCCATAGGCATGTACCCAAGAAGCTGTTGCTGCTGCTGGATCATACTGATGACTGTTACACTTCTGCCAGGGGCTGCACTGCTATTGTGGGCAATTTTGCTAAGTATTCTCCTCCTCTGCCACCTTTGGTGCCATCTCCAAGACTTACAGCTACCTAACCGGTAGCTGGAAAAAGACTGTTCACCAAGTCTCCCTACCAGGAACTCACTGACCAACTTGTGAAAACCCACATCAGAGTCTCTGTCCAGAGGATAAGCTCTAGCAGTAGCTACAACGTAAGAGATTTTACACAAGAAACAGAATGAAATCTGTCAAAAAAAAATTGGAATAGAAATAAACTGTTTCAATAATAAAAACACAGGTATCAATTAAAACAAGACATATTGCAAACAGTACCTTCATCATAGTAAAAAAGTTTCATGGTCAAGCAAACATCATTTGGTAAAGGTCCCAGATTTTGCATTAGTACATAAATCTTTCGAATGAGGAGAATACTTGCTTTCTTGGTGTCAGCAGATGACATGCTAGATTCACTGCTTTGATTTTTACTAGAAGAGAATCAGACAGTTTCTTTCATAAAAACAGTCACTTTTAACACCCAAACTTATTTTTATTATAGAATTAAATTGTTAAGTTATGTATGTTACCATTATAAAACTTTAATATCAAAATAAAAAAATTTAATATCACTATTAACATACATTATTGTATATCATAACTAAACCAAAACTTAATTTTATACAAATAAAATTAATGTATTTATATAAGGTGTTTAAAGAAACCAAATGATGGATTTTTATTGTTTCTAATCACCTAAGTCGTCCTTTTCCACAATTAAAATAGTATATAACTAGCCACAGAATCTTATTTTTGTAGCTACTCCAAGGCACTACTCTATTTTGACAGCTACACCTTGATGGCTGAGTGGAGATTTGAGAAGTTTCACAATGAATCCTGAAGTTAGCTAGGCATAATTGTACACAGCTGTAACACTAGCTACTTAGGAAGCTGAGACATGAGGATAAGTTTGAGGCCAGCCACACAGCTTATCAAGACTGTCTCAAAAAATAAAATAGGGCTGAGGATGTAACTCATATAAAAAGCTCTGGTTTGATCCCAGTACCCAGACCCCCACGATCCTGAAGTTTAACAACATAGCATTAATGAATAAATGGTAGTATGTAAGATAAAGAGAAAATTATAGAACAATACCTTATAAAGTCCATAACAGGTCCATTTTTGGTGTACTTGAATTTAAACTGGTAACATTCTGAAATTGTCTTAAATGAAAAACACTGCAGTTATATATCTGATATATCATTCTAGCTGGTAAATAGCTATCTACTATTTTTGTATGACTTAACATTTAGTCAATAGTTTTTCTGACATATTAACCCCATTGGTCCTATGAAGCTTCTAAACCTCAGCTAATTTCCATAATCTGGGATTTAGAATTTAGTCATGGAGAGATCCTTGTTCTCCCACTCATTGCAATGCATGTTGTTCATACCAAATGTTAGGAACTTCTTAGCAGGTAGGTAAGGGAAACAGCAGATCTCAGAAGAGTGGTTAAATGCTATGGCTTGAATGTGTCTCCAACAGTTCAAGTGTTTTTGAAAAATCCCTAATGCAGCAGTGTTTAGGGTGGGACCTTTAAGAGGTAATCACTGAGCTCACAAATGGATTATGCTGGTATCATGGGAATGGGTCAGTTATGGTGGGAGTGGGCTCCTGATAAAAGGATGAGACTGACCACCACGTTGCCCCATGATGCAGCAAGAAGGCCCTCATAAGATGCCAGCACCCTCTAGACCTTAGATCTCCCAGCCTCCAGAAGTCTAGGAAATAGATCTCTGTACTTTATACATTTCTTAATCTCAGGTATTCTGTTATAGCAGCATAAAGCATATTAAGACACTGCTATTGTTTGAATGTTCTTACCAAAATTCAAGTTGAAATTTAACCTCCATTATAGGTAGTAAGAAGTAAAAGCCAGGAATTAAAGTAAACCCTTTCAGAAGGGATTAGGTCATGAAATCTCTGCCCTCATAAGTAGACTGATCCATTCACTGATTTTTTTCTTTCCCTCCTTTTTGAGACAGGGTCTCGCTATGCAGTTCAGGTTGGCCTTGAACTCACTTTGTAGCCCAGGCTGGTCTCGAACTTACAACGATCCTCCTGCCTCAGCCTCCCAAGTGCTGGGATTATAGGCGTGCGCCACCACACCCAGCCTTCATTCACTGATTAATGGGTTGGGTTAACGGGTAATCTCAAGAATGGGTCAATTATAAAAGTCAGTTTGACTCTGTCTCTCTTTTTTTTTTTCTTTTTGAGACAGGGTTTCACTATGCAGTTCAGGCTGGCCTGGAACTCACTGCAGTCCTCCTGCCTCAGCCTCACAAGTGCTGGGATTACAGGTATGTGCCACCTTGACTCTGTCTCTTGCATGTATACCTTTGCTCAAATAATCAACTTTGTCATTTGGTCATACATTACATACTAACTGCTGGCATGAATATCAGATAAAGGACACATTTCTAGCCCTCCTGAAACCTGGAATACTTTGCTTCCTTTATATGTTAGCGCTCACACGGGGATGGAATCAGTCTCTCTCTCCTTCCCTCCCTCCTTCCCTCCCCCCTTTCAAATCAGTTTAAATCTGCTTCTTCATGACTGAGTGAAACATTATATTGTACCACCTGCAATATAATGGTTAAGAACCTAAATGATGACATAGCTTTCTAGGTTGAAATCCTGATTTTGCTACTTCTGCGAAAGAAGATACTTAGCAGAAGCTACTTCTGTTACTTTTACTTTTTGACCTTAGGCAAAAAATCTTATATCTAGATTTCCTAATCTGGAAAGTAGGGATGACAATGGTAATTGCTTCTGAAGGCTGTGGTGAATAAATTAGGGATAATAGGTTTATAGTTCCTAAGAACAGAGCCTAGTAGAGTATAAGCACTTAGTAAATTTTTCTCCCTTGTTCCTTGCCTTGCTTTCCCTTTCATTTCTTATCCACCCTTCTCTCTTAATTGTCAGATGAACAGGTAAATGTACCTGGATTAGAATAAATATTCAAAGCTTAAGAATTAAGTTATTTTCCCTAAACTTAAACCTTCTAATAATTCCAGATAAGGAATATTTTAAGAAACCACAAATTAGAAAATTATTTCTAGGGCCGGGTGTATAGCTCAGTGGCATAAGTGCTTGCCTGGCAAGCCTGAGGTCAGGAGTTTGATTCCTGGTACAAAAAAAAAAAAAAAAAAAAAAAAGCAAATTTATTTCTAACAGTTTATATGTTTTGTGGATTGGAATCAGTTACATAATCTCATGTAGTATATCTCATGTACTATGTACTATGCTTAAGTATGTTAATATAAGTACTACCTCAGAAAAGTTTTATAAGGCTTAAGCATGAAAATATATGAAAGTACATTGATTAAAACATAATTAAAAGGAATGTAATATTAATAGATTTTTACTTTTAGATAGTAAGAGTATTATTTCTTTACTAATTCAACCATACTTACTTGAGGGTCTTCTGGATTGGTGTATACCTATTTAAAATAATTTACAATTGAATTACTGAGGTTAAGGACTCAGGAAGAGTTAAACGGGATATTTAGACTATGAAGTGAACTCAGCAAAACAAAACAAAAACAAAATGACTCCCCAAGATATTATTACCTTTTTCCAATTGAATAAATCAACTGTTTGAATAAAATGACATAATCAATTGATAGTTTCACTATCACTTAATGAAAAGGCTGAGTTTAATAGTCTTTAAAAATATATACAATTTTTGGGCCAAGGATGTGGCTCAGTGGTACAGTGCCTGCCTGGCAAGCATGAGGTCCTGAGTTCGATTCCCAGTAACCGCCCCGCCGCCATAGATATACAATTTTAAAGTACTTACAGCTAGAACAACCATCCTTAGCTGAAATAAAACAGAGAACAAAAATCTTGTATTCTATAAAACAGTTTTTCATTATGAATCATAAAAAATTATTTGTCCTACTTTAAGGGCTAGAGATGTAGCTCAGTGACAGAGCACATGCTTACCAGGTGTAAGGTCCTGGGTTCAATCACTTGTACCCCTCCAAAAAGAGAATTCTTTATCCTCTTTCAACAGTTATTCTTATTAACAATCTTTCTAGAGAAGAGACTTTCTCCATAGTCATTACTTTATATATGGTTCCCTATTCCTTCAAATATCAATTCTATTTGACTTGTTAATGGCTGAAATTCACACTAGCATTTTATTTCTTTGACTTAAGCAAAGACAGTTTCAAAGAAAATATATTGTGAATTAACACATTAAGCATCACCAATGTGAGACATGGTTTTAAAAGAAGAAAAAGTAGGGAGCACAGGACTCTATGTATTTAACAAAGGAAAGAGGCTTTGGAGACCAGAGGAACAGAAACTCATCCACTTAAGTGATCTGCCAAAAATCTAGAGTCATCCTTGAAGTTCCAATTTTTTCCCTATATCCCACAACCAATACATCAACAAATCCAATCATTTCTACTCCCAAATCTATTCTGAATCTCACCTCCATGCTCTTACCCTATCACTACCTCTCAGGACTTTAGAGTAATGGCTTAAGTACTACTCTAGTCTTATTTCCAATCTTATTTACCTTTCAATATACTCTCTAACAAGGAAAGTGATTTTTTTTTTTGGTTTTTTCTCCAGTACCGGGAACCGAACTCACGACCTTGTGCTTGCCAGGTAGGCGCTTTTGCCGCTGAGCTAAATCCCCAGCCCCGGAAAGTGATTTTTAAAAAAATTTTAAAACATAAATCAAGTGATGCTTTTCTACTTATAACCTTCAAATGGTTTTTCTTTGTACCTGAAATAAAATCCAAGCTCCTTACCTACACAGCATTGAATATTCTGGCCCTGTCTATCTTCCCATGCTCATCTGATGCCACTGCACAACTGCACAACTGCTGTCAAAGTGCACTGGTCTTAGCTGTGTTTCCAGAACTCTAAACTCCTCTATAATTCTGATGCTCTGCTGGGAATATTCTCTCCCCAAACTAATGCCTGGCTGGTTTCTTCTCACTCAGGTCTCAGCTTAAACATCATCTCTTCAGAGAATCTGCTCTGACTATCTTATCTAAAATTAACCCACCACTCCATATATCACATAGTTTTTCTACAAATTTTAACAGCATCTAAAACTACTGGGGACTATCCAATTGTTTTATTGACTACTTTTTTCTGTTAGATGGGACTTCCTTTGTTTTGTTAACCTCTGTTAGCTTACCCTGTTCCTACCTAGCAGGCTCTCAGTATTTACTATGCCTTAAAATAAGGAAGATTAGGAACCAGGGATAGAGATTTATCTTCACAACTTTGCTAGAACTGGACTTCTTTATACATGTATAAAATTACACTAATTATGAAAATGGTTCATAAGCTATTATAAAACCTTCTTAATTTCATTAATTCAGAATTTGTGAAAATGTAACCTAGAATACATATTTATTTTTGAATCCTAATTAAAAATAATTTATTAAATTATTAATACAAACAAGATTATACAAGTCATGTGAAACTAATGGATGAATTATTATTATTTTTTTGAGACTAAGATCTCATCATGTAGCTCAGGCTTAGACTATATAATTATAGAAAAAAGATAAAGAGATAATAACTTACATATTTTTTTTGTAAAGCATCATAGCATCCCAGCATCCTAAAGAAAATAAATCAAAGATTCATTTTTAAACTGAATGGATTACAGAAAAGTTTTCATAAATCTTCACATTATCTCATTACTAAATAATACTAAAATTTCTTACTAAAGCACTTTTCTTATTAACTTGCTTGAAAAAAAGACAAAACAAGTATCTCAGTAGTACAGTGTTTGCCTAGCATGTACACAGCCCTAGGTTCAATCACCAGCATTATAAAAGAGAGGGATAGAGAAAAACAGAAAAGACAAAGAAGAAAAAGAAAGATAAAAAGGAACATGTTAGGATGATGGTGCAAGCCTATAATCCCAGTACTCTATGAGGCTAAGGCAGGAAGATCATGAGTCTGAGCCCAGGTTGGACAATTTAGTGACTTAAAAAAATCCTGTCTCAAAATAAAAAATAAAAAGGGCTGGGAATGTAGTTCAGTGGTAGAGCACTTTTGGGTTCAATCTCTAGTACTGCAGAAAAGAGAAACAAGCAATGTGGCAGAAATACATGATGACATAAGGGATAGGAGAATGAAAAGGGAGATTTTAATACAAAACTTCGAAGAGCTGCAAGACTGGTGCCCAGGGTTGAATGGTGAATCACTAAAATTTGGTTAAACATTGAAAAGTATCTAACACAAAAAATTAATTTGATTTAGAGAACAATTTTCTATTTTAAGTATTTTTTCTTACCATTTCACTAACTGTGTAGATCCTGGACAATTTTTATCTTCTCTCAGAATTTTGACACAAAGATCTAAAAAATTATGAGACAAATATGGAGTTATTTAAGAACAGTAAACAATTACAAATTTTAAACAATTTTTTTAGTTGTGTATTACAGTGTATTATTGTTATTATTAATATTATTATTATTTTTTTTTGTCTTTTTGAGACAGGGTCTTGCTATGCAATTCAGGCTAGCCTTGACCTCTTTGTAGCCCAAGCTGGTCTCGAACTCACAACAATCCTCCTGCCTCAGCCTTCTGAGTGTTAGGATTACAGGTGTGTGCCACCATGCCCGGCTACTAATGGTGAGGAACTTCCAAATGATTGGTATTATTAATATAATGAAAGCAAGAAAGGTTATATGGAAATAGTCTTTTAATCCTTTTTATAAAATGTCTTCATAGTGAATAAGATTATGTTGATAAGTAGAAAAATTTTCATTTAAAAAAATTATAGGATACGGAACATTAGACATAATGCTTTCATACTATTGTTATCCAAGAGTCTTAGAATATTTCCATTACTCCAGTAAAATATTGCTAGTTGCCAAGAAGTTAACTAGCTATCAAAGAAACCTGCAAAGAAACAACATGTCATGCAGTGGAAAAGACGGAGAGCATCTCTCCACCTCAGGTTTCTTATTTCAGTATCAATTAACAAGACAGTGTCCACAACGTAGTACTTAAATTGCCCAGTACACAGCTGGTGTTCATATCATGCATGTATTATAAGTTGAGAAATAAATTACTGTAGTATAAACCAGCTGTATTATTTTACTTCCTTAAAATAGCTGAAGAACATATACTACCTCTGTACAAAGTCATAAATAACAGAATATTTATATTTGTTTAATCATTAAAAATGTAATGCTAGGTGAAATTACACTTGAGAAAATTTACAATAAGTGCATTTAAAGGTATTAAATCTTTTTATATTTATTTATTTAGCAGTACTAGTGATTAAACACAGGGCCTTTGCACTGACATACATCCCCAGCCTTTAAAAAAAATTTTTTTTTTATGAGACAGGATCTTTCTAAGTCACTACGTTGCCTAGGCTGGGCTCAAACTTGCAATTCTCCTGCCTCAGTGCTAGGATTACAGATGTGTGCCAGTACACTCAGCTGAGTATCTTTTAAAAAAATGTAGAGCACTAAAAATGTAGCTCAATGGTACAGTGCCTGCCTAGAATGCAATGTCTAGTACATAAAAAACCCCCAAAAAACAGTTTTAGATACCCTAACACTTGGGCGTGAATGTGAAATTATATATAGATATATAAAAAAAAGTGGGAACAGCCTAAATGCTTATCAGTGTACAGTCACACAATGAAACATTATCCAACAATGAAAACTGATGGAGCTGGGCATGGTGGTCCATGCCTGTAATCTCAGCACTTGTGAGGCTGACGGAGGAGGACTGCTGAGTTTAAGGCCAGCCTACCCTACAGAGTGACACCCTGTCTCAAAAAAAAAAAAAAAAAAAGATGGAGTACTAATCTGTGTTTTAACATGGAGGAACCTTGAAAATTTTATGCTAAGTAAAAGAAGCCAATCCCCCCCCAAATCACATCCTATATGATTCCATTTGTATAAAATGTCCAGAGTAAGTAAATGTATAGCAACAGAAAGTAGACTGGTGGTTGCCTAGGACTAGGAAGGTTAGGCAGGAATGGATAGTGACTTAATGGATATAAGGTTTCCTTTTAGGGTAATGAAAATGTTCTAAAATTGACTGCAGTGATAGTTGCACAACTCTGAACATACTAAAAATCACCAAGCTATACATTTTATTTTATTTTTTCACTTTTTAGTACCAGGAATCGAACTCAAGACCTTGCGCTTGCCAGGCAGATGCTTGTGCCGGTGAGCTATATCCCCGGCCACGAGCTATACATTTTAAATGAGTGAACTACCAGATATGTGTATAATATTAATAAAGTTTCTATTAAAACCACAAGCTCCAACTCAAAACTTAGTTTTAGAGCAAGCCAAAAACAACATCAAAAAAAGCTTAAAATAAACATTACATTACCATCTAAATATCTTGTTCCATAAGCACACTCTGGAAATATTCCTCTCAAATATGTGATGCAGGATACTGAAACTGCCAGGAGCCTCTTCACTAACACCAAAGACTGCTGCTCGGTTGATATCTTACTGGGAAATACCAACGTACTCTAAAATTCAAAAGAAATTAAAACATTCTATTTATATTTATTAAAAATAAAATTTCCCTCAAAGTAGATCCAATTTTGCACAGACATGGTACTCTCCCAAAGAATTCTTTCCCTAGTGGTTAGTAACCCCCAGAAAAGCAGAGTGGTTTGTAAAATGTGGAAGTGTTTCTAAGGAGTAATAGCGTAAATGTAATGTGCAAAAAGTGCTTAAGAACCTCCTTACAGATTAACTGTAAGTGCATAAACACGGACAGATAACATAAATGATGCTTTTTTGCTTCGGGTAGAATGCTAAGAATAATTTCATCAAAGCAGTGGAACAATATTAATACCTAATGTAAATTAAATTTGGAACTGCAATTTAATGTAATATTCCAAACATCCAACAGACTTCTCTATTCATTATAAGTTTAAGAAATATTTTTTCTTAAATCATGGGGTTATCATAAAACCCTGAAACAACTGATTCCAACTTTCATATAATTGACACTAAGAAATAATAAAATCACATAAACATATTAAATGCAAGAAATCATACCATGGAAGTCCTCTGCAACTGTGCTGTGGCCATCTTTCTTCTGATAAAGTGCTTTCTTTAAATCAACCTTATGACAAATACAGGCTTTAATTTTATATATTTATTTTCCCCTCCCCTCCTCCTCTAGATCTCTAAAAATACAACATTCTAGTTTATTAAAGTCAGAATTTTGTGTGAATACATTTAAAAAAATATTTCCTCAAATTTACTTATTTATTTTGTTGTTTTTTGAGACAGGGTCTCACCATGTAGCTCAGGCTGGCCCTCAACTCAAGGTGATCCTCCTGCCTCAGCCTCCTCAATGCTAGGATCACAAGTGTGCGCCACCACACCCGGCTGAACAAATTTAAGAATTTTTTTACTTGAAATGTTCAAAAATGTAGAGGTCCATATTTCTATGCCACAATTTTGAGTAAGGACCTAATTTTAAGTCATTTGACTAAAATGTTTCATATAAATCGGTTAAGACTTTTTTTGTGGGGGTGTTGGTGATTGAACACAGAGCCTTACCACAAGGCTACATGGCCCCTGCCCAAGAAATTGTAAGATTTTTAAAAATTTCTCTGTAGACAGAGCCTAGCTACGAACTCCAGAGCTCAAGAGATGCTCCAGTCCCAACTTTCCCATGAGCTAGTACTGCACCCAGCTTTTTAAAAGCACAAACTTCTCGTCACTACATCAAGCACCCTCGACCCTGCACACAAGGGGGTGAGAAGACGCCCCTGACAGCCCTGTCAGGTCTTTTTTCTTCTCCTTCTCTCTTTCTCTCCCAACTGTGAGGTTTCCGGCCGGCCTCGAACTAAAGATCTTTTTGCCTCAGCTTCCCGAGTAGCTGGAATCGCAAGTGCGCAACGCCGCGACACACTTTAAAAACCTTTTCATTTGGAAAGAGCATTACGTTCGAAGTACCCAAACCTGGCGACTTGCCCCCGGCGCGCGCCCGCCAGCGCGGGCGCGCCCCCCTGTGCCTCGCCGGTGCCTGCCGCGTCGCTCTGGTTGCTCCCAACCCGATTGCCTTGGCGCGTACAGCCAAGCGCCAGCACAGGGTCTAGCTATCGGACGCGTTTATGTTTATGCCGACAGCTCCTGGCCTAGCCGACGCCACTGACCCCGTCCCAAGAAGCTCTCGTGAAAAGTCAGTCAGTCTACATTTTCTCCTCAGATATCTCGGCGCTAAGACCTTAAGAAAGTTAAGAGTGGCTGGGAGGCAACAGAAAAAGATTAAAATGTAAAAAGTAGAAATAACACCCCGAAACACGCTTATATATTACGTAAAGTGTGAGGCGAGCTGGCGACCAGACGAACTGCACGACGCGGCACGCGCTCTCCTGAGGCGCATGCGCTTTCCTTCAACGGTCGCCAGCGGCACGACCTGGCGCAACAGTGACCTTCGACCCTGCTGGAGGTCACCTTTCCCGCCAAGAGCTGCGCAAGGCACGCCGGGAGTCCGCAAGGCGCTCATCTGCTGAGGGCGCCGACGCAGCCGTTTTAAGCCAGATGCTGGACGCGAAGTTTAAGTAATTGGATGTGCAAAGCCCTCTCTGTGTGATTGCTTTCGTGTACTCACCATAGTGTTCCCAGTCACCTTTTAATTCATCGTATGAATTTCTGATTGCTTTCTGAAAAAATCGGAGCCGATACGCGTTCCATTTCCACCTTCGGGTCTCCTTTGTCTTCGGGAAACCGATTGCTTCCCCGCTCTACATTCCTGTGGGGACAATGGGTAGCTGTCCCAATAATCTGCATCTCATTTAGAAACAAAATAGTAGGTAGGGAGTTGGAGATTTTCCAGAAGTACAAACTTACTTTACCGATTGTTACATATACAAATAAATCGTATCCATAGTATAAATACATATATAATTACTGTTCATAAACTTCGATGTCTTTATAGAGGAAATGGCTACCCCAGATATAAAGAGATTTACCTCAAGCTACTCAATTAGGAGAAGAATAAGGACTGGAACCCTGTTTTCAGGATCAAAAATAGTGAAATAAATATTTTGTCCTCTCTGACAAAGGGCTTTCATATTCACTACGTTTTATTTTGCTTCCTACAAAAACTTTGTGGGGAACACACAGATATTACCCCTATTTTATTTATTTAAGTTCTGAGGATTGAACCTCTATTCTACAGATGAGAAAAATATGTATATATATGATCATATTCATTAATTTGTGTGTGTGTGTGTGTGTG